CCCCAAAACCCCAAAACCCCAAAACCCCAAAACCCCAAAACCCCAAAACCCCAAAACCCCTCAGAGAAGATTATTAATTGATAGTAATAATAATAAAATGGAAGGGGATTTTATAGAAAATATCATCAAGGAAGATAGTGCCTGATTTAATGAAGGCGATAAAAGATATAATCTCTCAAATGTTCTGAAGGGATTTTATGTTGCTGTAGGATCTTTGTCTATACTCGCAGCAACATTCTTGTTTGTGACTATATTTACAGTCAAAAAGCTGAAAGCACATCCTTCCATAATGATTGGTTATATTTCACTCTTCGAGGCAATCAGTTGATTCCATTCAATTATCTGGGCAGTATCAACGCTTGAATTTGTTGAATATTTTGGATTAGGACACTTGTTCGCTTGGACTGTTACTTTTGATGGTGCTAGTGCTTATCATTCTTGAGTGACCTTATGCATACTCAACCAACTTACAGGCTTCTCGCTATTTTCTGTAATGTCGCTGGGTATGAACATGTGTTTATGTATCGATCTTGTCTTGACACTCCGTGAGCCTTTCTATCCAGCAAAGAGAAGATTAAAGTTCTACCTAATGTTCTCTTTCTTACTTTCAATGATTATCCTTATCGTCTCAATTCCAAGAGTAACAGAGACTTGACCTTCATCCTCCCAAGCTAATGTTTCTCAAAGGCAGAATTCTGCTATGGCTGTTATTCTGACTTTTTACATTCTAATATCTTTGTTCTCAATAGTGTATGCTGCAAGAATGTTGTCAAGGCCGGGAATATCTTCAGAAATCAGAGAAATATTCATGAAAAAGCATGTTCTCTATTCCATATCCTTCATCATCATTTGGACATTGAATCTTTTGAATACTTATCATGCACTATATAAAGACATTGGGCAGGGAACAAAAGAGGCAGATGAACTTAGAGCTCAAGGCTATGAATTGAGATACATCCGTCTTCCAAACGGACTCGAGGTGCAAGTCACTGTTAAAGATGGAGAAGTTCATGCAAATTTCACAGTTTTCCAGATCATTAGTGTTTTCGCTAGTCTCTCTACAGGATTGGTAATGGGAATCATTAGGTGTTTCGAACCTTATTTCGGATTTCTTATTGTCAAAACTTTCAAATCATTCTATGGTATCCCTTTGACTGAGGAAGAGATCAACAAGAAGAATAATAAGCTTACTGATACTATCTCTGCTTTCTTGAACTCAAGTCTGAATATTGAGCTTGTCCATATCATTTTGAAAGCTATTACACAGGAGTGCACAAAGACAGAATTACCTAAAGATGGATGGAAGTCATACATTGTTGCAGATACAGATTTTGATGAGAAAAAGAAGTACGAACTTCATGAGATAGAGATTAATAATCCTAAGAAATGGGGTCTCTTTGATGAGCCTATTGAAGCCCTCAAGAACGTGAACTTTAATGTTCTTGGGAGAGAGGAAGGCACGCCTGGAGATAAGGATAAAGACATTTTAACAATCAACGAAGATATCTATATTGAAGAGCTAGCTCCGACTATATTTGCGACAATAAGAAACCAAGAAGGAATTACTACTGATAACATTATTGAATCATTATCTCCTGAATTTAATAGAGATATGGTCTTCAAGGCAGGAGAAGGTCAGGGTAAAAGTGGATCATTCTTTTTCTTCTCCCATGACAGAAGGTTCATCATCAAAACTATGAATAACGAGGAGTACAAAACTTTCAAAGGGATTTTCAAGGATTACTTCCAGTATCTTCTCAAACACGAGGATAGTCTTTTAGCCAGGATTTTTGGAATATTCACAATTAAGAAGGAAAAGCTGCAGCCTGTACATTTGATTTTGATGGGAAATACCTGTACGCTTCAAGGAAAGAAATTGAAGTATATGTTCGATCTCAAGGGATCTTTCGTGAATAGAGAGACAAAGGTTGGTAAAATTCATAAACCATCTCAAACTTTGAAGGATATTAACCTTCTCAATTTGAAGATTCAGGAGAACTTCTTGAAGTTTAATCAGTCAGATGCTGAAGGAATTATAAACTGAATCAAACGAGATATTCCAATCCTTAAGAAGGGAAATATAATGGATTATTCCTTACTTTTAGCAATTGAAGAAAATCCGAATTATAGAAGACATGCTGCATCAACAATGAGAAAATTATCAAAGCACTCTTCTGAAGGAACTCCAAGGAAAAACTCTGGAAGTGTCAGAAATAATGGTGAAAATGGAAATGAAATGGATGATGATGATATTCTACCCCACCAAAGGTTTAAGGCTTCTCGTCATATGTTCTTGAGCAGTAACTTACAGTACATTTATCATATCTCCATCATTGATTATCTCCAGGACTACAACTTGGATAAAAAGTTTGAGAATTTTGCAAAGACTATTCTTAGAGGAAGAAAGGCTGAAATTTCAGCTGTGAACCCAGAAAGATATTCTAAGAGATACATTGAATTCATGGAGAATGAGGTTATCATTGCTGATAAGAAATCAGGGTCGACTGGATCTGGAGATTTACCAGTGATTCAAGAATAATTCAGCTTGAACTCTCTCACAAGGGGTTTTGGGGTTTTGGGGTTTTGGGGTTTTGGGG